TTGTAGCATTCAGTATATGACACGGGAGACGGTGATCTTACTGTGACCTAAGACCATATTCACATGGACCTGCTTTGAAAACCTTACTTCATCACATATTCCCAGACAATAAAACTGGAGGCACACTCCTTATCTGACACACAGCAGCACCGAGCCACTAATCATGTGATGGATAATCAGTGTTATCTTTCTCCTGCTGTGATTAAAAGGAGAGAAGCATATCTAAACACACATATCTGACTTGATGCCCTACTCGCAGCTGACTATAGTGGAGAACCAGCATCTTCAGAACGTCTTCAACTGGCTCAGGTACGACGCCTCCAAGAACCTGGGTCGCCTGAGGGAAGACGTGAACAAGGCCAAGTGGTCCACCGCGCCCGCCGTCCTCAACGCCTTCTACAACCCCAACTTTAATGACATAGGTGAGTCCTGCGGTCAACTTGGGCCGTGCAAGTGTCACACATCAACCTTGCCAGACAAGATGAGGGTCCACGTCGTACAATTTAATAATATACATCACTTAGATCTACTCTCTTGTAACCATAATGAATAAGAATTGACTCATTTTAAATCAATTATAATTCTCCTCTTCTTTACACAGAAGAGGACTCCTAGGTCCTGTAAAGTTTCTTCATAAACACACAATATCTATAAAATAAAATAAAAAATATTTATAGAGATAAAACAGGATTGTTTCTACAGATAATGTGCGTTGTGTCTTGAGAAATAAAGACACGGCGGGTGTACACAAGGTTTCTCTCCCACAGTGTTCCCAGCGGGCATCCTGCAGCCACTCTTCTACTCCCAGCACCTTCCCAAGTCTCTCAACTATGGTGGCATCGGTGTTGTCATTGGTCACGAGATGACCCACGGCTTCGATGACAAGGGACGACAGTTTGACAAGGGCGGCAACCTGAAGCAGTGGTGGAACAACCGCACCGTACAGGCCTTCAGGTGAGACGTCTCACAACCGCAGTCTCATAGTGTCACCTAACTTGCAGCTGCCATCACTAAAATTACAAGTTTTTTTTAGATTCTTTCAAAACATGCTCAAAAGCTTTCTTATAACAAACCTACCAGTTTGTCATAAATTATCTTGAAACTGAATTCGTAGGATTTGGTAGTCGATATATGTATGACGTGGCAAAATTACATTTGTGGCCCTTTTGAACCCCTACTCCCTAAAATCATAAATCATCCTTTTATTACATTTCTCTGACGGTGTTCTGCAGTCCCCCTGGCTACCTGGCTACCGAAGCCGTTCTCTGATCTCCTGGACCCATTCTCTTTCACATACGAAACTCATGGTACACTAAACTTAGATTCCCTTCAGCTTTTGTCAATCTCTTCATAATATTGTTCCTCGTAGGTTCTGATTAATAAACTAAAACTCTCACTCGTTGTGTTATGAAATTTTGAGAATGATGTATATGTAATCATGATCTTAATGTCATTGAGCCAGATGTTGCCTCTTAACAAAAAGAGTCAACAAAGTAAAAAAAAAAAGTAATAACAGGATATTGATCCTGTTATGCTTATGGAAGTTCTCGGGCCAACACCTGACCTTCCTCAGGATGTGACCCACAACAAAATAATTCCATATTAACTAATATTTAGCACTAAAGTGCACAAATGCATCAGTTGTAATGAAATGGTGCCAATGTTAAACGATTTGGTGGGTCGTATTGCAGGAAATATTAGGATTAAGGACCTGCCCGAAACGCTATGCGTGCTAGTGGCTTTATAGGAATGTAAGAACTCTTGTATATATCTACAGTAAAAAATGTGTCTCGTAATATCTTCTAATTGAGCAGTCCGTTTTTCATGAAGTTCTATCTATTGAATGAATAGATAGTACTTCATGAAAATAACTTCCAGCTGTGCGATACCTTGTGCCAGAGTAATGATAAAAGTAAATGAACAAACTAAACCTCTCCCACTTCCCCCCAGGGACCGAGCCCAGTGCATCATCGACCAGTACTCCGGGTACAAGGTGGAGCAGGTCAACCAGTTCATCAACGGTCGCATGACGCAGGGAGAGAACATAGCTGACAATGGTGGCATCAAACAAGCATACAGGGTAGGTCATAGGTTACACACATGTTCTGTAAGCTAGGTCAAGTGTCGCAAAGAAGCTCAAGGTGGGTGAAAATCCCAGTGGTTCTATGAGGTGTTAGAGTCACTGAAATATAAAGGAGGGTCAACATTCACCCCCAGCAGAAGGAGGTAAAAAAAATCCACGCATATCAGTGGTCACAGTAGAGCAGAGTAGCTAATCACTGTCATTGTATCTATTGATTATTTTTATATTTCTGGTCAGGATATTCTGGTTGTTTGTAGAAATGATGTGATCTTTGATAGATTCTTATTGTTTGTGCATAGGCACTTTTGAAAGAAATTTTGCAGTCTTGCATATATACTGAGATCGTAATTTGGATCAAACATTTCCTAAGCGGGCATGTAAAGGCTTGGGGCGACATTTGTCTCCTACTCGTTCTGTTGGTGTCAGGATATGTTTAATAATATCAGGTCGCGTGAGTGTATATTAGTAAAGGTAATTTCCCTGCCTCATTTCTTCTTTCTTTGCAGGCGTACCGTCAGTGGGTTATGAGGAACGGAGAGGAGAAGCTGCTGCCGGGGATCCAACTGAATCACGACCAGCTCTTCTTCCTCAACTATGCCAGGATATGGTGCGGCACCATGCGCCCCGAGGATGCCCTTTCCAAGATACGCTCCTCAGTGCACTCGCTAGGACCCATCCGCGTTCTGGGCCCACTCTCCAATTCAGAGGATTTTGCGAGGTCATACAACTGCCCAGTTGGAAGTAGGATGAACCCGATGAAGAAGTGTTCCGTGTGGTGAAGAGTCATTAATCAGAGATGAAGCTTTCACATCTCTTAGTTTCGTTTTATATAAGTATTTTTTCACAGAGTAAAGAAGATTTGAGGTTTGAGGCTCATAATGAGTGTTGTGGTGGAGTTGTTGAGGTCGCGTGAGCTCAGTGTAATATGCTGATGAGCAAAATATATTGTTCGGGTTGTCCTGCTTCTGGTCCGACGAGGGATATAGTGATAGTGAGAGAAGTGACGGTGGGGGTGATGGGGTAAAAGACATGAGTGTTTGTGGGATGATGATGTGGAGAAGTGATGGCGGCTGTGGAGATGAAATGACTGTGCCAGCGTTGTTGGTCTAGGAGTTTGAAAGTTGTAATTGGAAACTATGATGCAAAGGAAATGGACAATGGTAGGACAAAGAGAGGAGGATATAGCTTCGTCTAGTGTTGACCTTATGTCCTGTCAACCTCTGGAAGTTTGCTGAGACTGCAGCAAGAGATTACTGACAACCAGAAAGTATAATGTAATCCTGAACATAGTTCAGGAGTAAAGTAAACTGTGGGCGTATACACAGAGAACCACAACACACAGCTCGGTGTATATATATCCCCTGTGAGGACATAGGAAAGGCTGTGTAAGGTATATAAAGATAGTTATTGTGAGGCAAATCATACATGAGAATGAAAACTCATATTGGCTCTTGATAGTCTGCAGAATATTGTAAACTGCTTTCCAAAACATAAATTGTATGATGTGTAAGAGAAATATTTGTATTGCGTATGACTGGCAGCTGAGAAGCTGTCATGACAAGATGGACAAGTGTTGTTACAAGGAAAGTTCTGTGATTGATTTTGAAAGCAATGGAGTTGGTGGCACTGGAGACAAGGGAGGTTTGTGTAAAAAGTCAAATAAAATACAACTTTTCTTAAATTTTCTCCAGTTAGTATTTAGCACTCGAAAACATGAAAGAAACATATTTCAGGGGCTAGGTTTTAAAGTTGTTAAACTAAGAGTACAGAAACTATAACAAAGATTTGTGTATGCTCCTATTTTGCTAAGTTTACATCACCCTCAATCTCGCAGCCAAAATATTTGCCAAATTATCCACTTTCATGGCCATACTTTAACAAAAAATAACTTTTTAGATCAAATTTAATAAAATAGTGATTAAAGTAGTGCATATTATATACTATAACTAAATTGGAGCATATGCATGTGTTGTACATACATCTTATGGATACACAAAGATACATTTTCTATTTTTATGTAGTTTATTCTTCCGTGTAAAGTTAAGTGTGTTGACGTCTTGATGTCATCTCAAGAGCTAAGTTTCCCTTCAGGTTTATTTCTCTTGTTGTGAGTTGAATATTGTGACTTAGTAGTGTGTAAGTGTGTGTTGGGCCGGGCGGCTTGGGGTTCCACGCGTGTCCGGGCAACACTGGTCTTCAAATGCTCATTCCTCATTTTGAAATTGTCTTCTAAGCCTCACGAACAAATATTAATAAACCTAACAAATTCTGACATTTAATGCTAATGTTAGCAGAGTGTGAAGGGCAGCAGTGGGCGTTGTGGCGAGTCGGGCACACGTGAGCACTGGGCCCGGAGACGTGAGGGCCCCGTCCCGCCTTCCCTCCTACATTCATATTTATTATTTTCGTAATGAACTAGAATTTAGTAAAGATGGAAATTACTAATTTGAATGTTTTTTTTAAACAAAAGTGAAACAATTATAAATTTAAATAAAATAAATATTCTAACTTTGTGATGCAAAAGTAGTCTGCAATCTTTAGCAGCATTACTAATGGGATGGGGCCATGGAGCACCGCTCTGCCTCCCCTGCATCACCTGCTCTTATAATGTTCAATTGTCTTATCCATATACTTATGAAGCGCTACCTCTAACATCTCTCACAGCCAGCTCCCAGCCCCAATATACACCCCGGGCTGTGAAGTTGGCTTCCAAAATGTTGTCATATACTCAACTTTCTTGGTGTAAACACGACTGAAAATTTACAAATATGTTTATAAAATTGTTTTGTAGATCAGCAGTGACCTTAAGAATTTTGATTGGAAACATGCATAAGATGCGACACACATCTGATAATAATACAATAACAGGATGTTTATTCCCTCAAACGAGCCGGGCGAGTCTGTGGCTGGGTGGCTGCGTTTAGAATTTTGCTTTCAGGTGGAACTCCGGCTCTCGCCTGCCTGATGCGGCTGATGCCTTAATGTTATTTATATCCTCGTCCATCCCTGACTTGAATTTTCTCTTTACTCTAAGCTTCCTTATTTACCCCACCAACTCCTTTCTAATATCCCTATCCTTCCGTAAAACGAAATTACCTTTATCTCCGTGTATTTTTCTTCTTATATTTTCATGTCTTCGGTGTTGATACTTTTTGACCCCTTCTGACAGCCCCAACTCAACTCTCACTGTGTACCATTGAGTCGAAGTAGAACTCTCTGGACTATCAGCTGACTGCTGCACATACTACATCTCTCATGTTATGTAACTTGAGTGATCGTAGTTTGTACCGAGGCCGCATGACACAACTTTCAGTTTTACACTTCATGTGTTCAAGCCTGACCATGTCTGACGTCTCGATCATCCCTTAAAGTTCTTCACCTTTAGTTTGAAAAGTTAGCAGTGAAACTGTTTTACTCGTCTGTTAGCCGCCAAACGTTTTATCTATGCGAGACTCGTGTTCGGTAGAGCATCTCTACAATGTTAACAGTAAATTAAAATTTATTTTGCATTAGTTTTTAATAGAGGAAACTATCAGGGAACCTTAACATATTTTTACTGCCTTGTATTCTTTCGGTTTTCATCCCATATTATGGTCTTAAGGGGTACACGGTCATCTTCATCGATGATCTGAAAGCAGCGTTTGAAGACGGTGCGGTGAGAGGTGCACGAGTCCTGTATATGTGTGTGAGACTTGAAGGAGCATGTCACGGCTTCACAACAAACTACGTACATGTCTTATTCTCTACCCAATGCGGTACTTTCTTTCATATATAGTTTCGATATATAAGTTTTTCCAGAACGTCTGAAAACATGCAGTAATTATCAGAGACGAGGCCTAACGACAACATGAACCACCCAACATTATGTGCCAAGCGACTGGCAGTCATAACTCTGCACTCAAACTACGAAGTCTACTATGGACCTCGTTTTACACAAATGTAAAAGTAGCTACTAAAGCTAATTATGCATTTGAAGAATCGGTTTTGAGCGATATACTGGTCTAGAAAATTAATAATTTGGGAGCCGAGTTAATTCAGTAAGTAAATCATAAAATAAAGTATTACTATTTAACCCAATTAACGGGCCTACTAATGAGAGCATTAGTTAAAAAGGTTGACCCCACGGTACGGGGTCAATCCACACTGCCACAGTTTAATTATAGTAAATTATTCCCAACGAGTATACTTGTTTTCTGTTGTCATTGTCCTGTATTATATTAGCCAGCTAGGTACGTATTGGCTCGATGGCCAGCCCTCTAATACGTGCATCACCTTAACAAAAGGCCAGCTTCTTGGGGCCTTCTCCTGAGTGTGACTTTGCGCTGCTGAGTCTTTGGTTGCACTTGAGTGACTTACTGGGCTCTCCTGGGCCTAGCTGGACAATTATGTCCCATTTTATTATCCTAGCAAAACTTCTAGTCCAAGCTAAGGTTTCGTTGCTTAACTACCTTGGTTAAGGGTCTGATTTTACTCTCACGCACCTGACTTAACACACTTCCATTCTGTGTCTGGCTTGACTGACATATGCCTGGCTCTTCTGCCTTTGGCTCTATTGTGTATTATGTCTCGTCTCTCTTGGGTTTAGCTTGACTCTTTGGTCTGGCTAAACCCTGCAGGATGTGTTTTGACTTTCTAGCCGGCACTGATAAGAGTCTTCTAGAGCTGGCTCAGTTCCGGTGACTTTGTCTTGGGTCTACCTTGACTCTTAACTCTTTTCTGGCTTTCCTGGATTTGGTATTTTACCGGATCTCTCTCCTTCGCCTACGATACCTCTCATGCTGTCATTACCACACCTTTCCCCTAAACAAGCATTCTCACGCGAGTATTAACTAACAATTTGTATCATGAATTCCACTTAGACAATTGCTGTAAAGATGTTCGCTCCTCTTAAAAACCCCTTCTGTTAAATTGGACTATTGTGCATAATATGTATGTCTTGAGTAGATGCATGTATGCGTTAATAGATGCATACATACATACACTGATTCATTCGGGTCAATCACCCTTTGGTCTAGGGCTCGCCGATTGGTCAAAATGCAGCCAAGTAAGCCAATCGGCGCCGTGTTTTTCTGATGACACACAGTTATTGACGTCATTGATCAGACGATGAGCTATCCATCATCCTAATCAAAACCACATAATTATCAAGTTGTCATTCCATATAACTTCTATTTAGTTTGCTTTTGTTTCCAACAATCCACTTGGTGACTGGTTTCTGTTGTCGACAAACAGAAAAGCAGACTGTTAGGATCTAGTTATATGTAACATCATAAAGAGAGATATTTTCATTTTATACTGATTTGTAACATGAAAAATAAAACAAAGATTTTTATTGCACAAATTATTGCTTTGTAAATATCTGATGCAATTATCGTCGCCATTTTAGGACATTTATGAGATTAAACGTCTGATTATTGGATCAATGTTTTATTGCGATTTTCCTAAACCAAGATCATATATGGGAACCCATTCCTAGGAGCTGGGCTCAGCTGGTGGCCAGTGCCTGGGCTCTGCAGCATTCATCGTGTAATATATGCAAAGGGCAAAATACTAGAATGAATAAAAAAAATTATTAAAACAAGGAGAACTAAGGGTCTCTGTAATCTGAATAGAAAAGTACTTTGAGTGGTAAAGTGCGCGATTTCATTTTATTTTGTTATTACAACAACGAAATTGATGAGAATATTGTAAATCGTATCACATTTCCAGATGACAAAGATCTATGACAAAGTAGCAAGCAACATCTATATTGAAACCTTACAAAGCGACCCACATAAAAGCCACAAATGGTAAGAAGACTGGAAAATACCTTACATGTAAGACATACCAATGTGCATCATCACTAGCATCAACAATACTACCATGACTACCATGCAGCAGATTGATGAAGGACCTGGCAGTTATGATCCATCAAGCGTTGAAAATTTCTCAACAAGTAGGAGCTGCGGCAAAAAATAACTACCCAAATTTTAGGAATAATTAAAAGAAAGTTTTGAATTCAAGGAAAATAAAGAGGTAACTCAGCTGTATAGGTCTTGGGCGCCCCCCATCTGGACTACATTATCCAAGCATGGAAATCATTCCTTTAAAAGCATATATTTGCTTTGGAGGAAGTTCAACGCAGAAAGACAAAAATCACCACTGAACTAAGTCAGCTCTCGTACCAGAGGCCTTAAGACTAAAAATAACTAAACTTCAGACACGACAGGGCTGATTTCACAGAGTAAATTATTCCGTATGAGTACATTTGTTCTCTGGTCTATCATTGTCCCATATTATATTAGCTAGCTAAGCCCTCCAATACGTGCATCACACTAACAAAAGGCGCCCCCCCCTTTTCTAATCCCCCCAGTGACTGAGTTTAAAGTTCTGAACAAATTAGAAGATATTGATTCAGACCACTTCTTTAAATGGTTCAATGTAATGTACTTAATTAAGGGGCAACACCACCAAGCTCAACATGCCACAATAGGAGATGGTGGCCCTCAGGTAAGTTCTGTAAGATTTATTCGTATTTGCGTGTTCATGAGGTATATTAGTCTATCATTACTTTAGTTTTGTATTAATAACGAATATGCAAGGATGTGAATCATGTACTGAGAGGATACCAGATATTACGAAGGAAAAAAAAGACCCCTGTATTTAAGAACCTCCTCAAATCCACCGTGGTGGTGGTGGTGGTGGTGGTGGTGGTGCTGATGGTGGTGCTGCAGATTTTTGTGGTGGTCGTGCTGCTGCTACTGCTCTTCTTGGTGGTTGTGGTTGTGGTGGGGGCGCTGCTGCTGCTTTTGTTGATGGTAGGACTGCTGTTGGTGGTGATGGGGGCTGCTGCTGATAGTGGTTGATTTACGGGCGATGACGATCGTAGGATCGGATGCGCCCCGGCAACCCGGCTTCATGAAATGTTGAAATAGAATGATCTTCATCTTCAGTCTATGGATATAGCCGATGAATGGAATGGTATGGCGAAGACTCAGATCTGTCATTATCGTCCCTCCCTCCAGCCCCGTCTGGGAGAATGTGAACAGTGAGACAGGATATTTGTAACCCTCGAATGGTACACTGAAGCCTTGTCCGCGCGGCATAAAATATTGGGCAGTGTTCCACAATATCCTCCTGGTCCGGGCACCACAGACAGTAGAGAATCAACCAGTCGAAGGTGACGGAGGTGCGCTGCTAGGCAAGAATGCCCGATCCGAAAGTGGGTGATGGTTGCATCTGGTGCGATGCCAGGTACACGGACGCAGAGAGGACTCCGTCCTTCTAGTCCCAGGGACGATACCAGAAGGGCTGGTGCCAACTCCACCTCCCAGCATGCACGGTAGGCCGCCCGGAGCTGCGGGAGAATTCCGAAAGATCTAGAGACAGACGTGAGTTGCCTCTGTGACTGGGCACCAACCCAGCCATAGCATCCGCCCCCACAGTCCCGATAATCCCTACATGGGACAGAACTCTGTAGAAACACCGACCTCCTCGAGGAGCCAAGGAACCTCTGCAACTCCATGCGAATCTGAGACACCTTGTAATGGTGTACCTGCGGACGTCGAGAAGACACGAGGTGTAGGGCAGTAGTGGTGTGCACACAAGTGCTGAGGGGTAGGATACCTGTTACCTGCTGATGCCTGGTTGATGGGGTTCTGGGAGGAGTTCTACTCCCCAAGCCCGGCCCGAGGCCAGGCTTGAATTGTGAGAGTTTGGTCCACCAGGCTGTTGTTTGGAGCTGCCCGCAGGCCCACATACCCACCACAGCCCGGTTGGTCCGGCACTCCTTGAAGAAAACAATCTAGTTTTCTCTTGAAGATGTCTACGGTTGTTGCGGCAATATTTCTGATGCTCGCTGGTAGAACGCTGAACAACCGCGGACCTCTGATGTTCATACAGTGTTCTCTGATTGTGCTCATGGCACCTCTGCTCTTCACTGGTTCTATTCTGCATTTTCTTCCATATCGTTCACTCCAGTACGTTGTTACTGTGCAGATTTGGGACCTGGCCCTCCAGTATTTTCCATGTGTATATTATTTGGTATCTCTCTCGTCTTCTTTCTAGTGAGTACATTTGGAGAGCTTTGAGACGATCCCAATAATTTAGGTGTTTTATCGCGTCTGTGCGTGCCGTATATGTTCTCTGTATTCCCTCTATTTCAGCAATCTCTCCTGCTCTGAAGGGGGAAGTGAGTACTGAGCAGTACTCAAGACGGGACAACACAAGTGATTTGAAGAGTACAACCATCGTGAGTGGATCTGGATTTGAAGGTTCTCGTAATCCATCCAATCAGTTTTCTGGCCGACGCAATACTTGCTTGGTTATGCTCCCTAAGCGTTAGGTCGTCGAACATCATTCCATCAGTCCAAATCCTTGACATGCTGTTTTCCTACTATGGGCAGATTCGATTGTCGAAGGAGCGCAGGGCAAGCAAGATCGGAAAGTTTCCTCGCCAGTCTGGAGTAAACGAGTGGGGAGCTTTCACTTCTGGCAAAAGTACAAAGGCGCATACAGCATGCTGCCGCCGAGGTGAAAGGCGACTGATCTCTGAAAACATCACTGTTAACGGTAGACGGGCTCACCATAGCCCGTGCTACTTGGAACATTGTTCCGGGTAGCGAGTCTTTAACAACAACAACAATCACTGTTAACCTCAAAGTGACCCGAGTATATAGAGGCTTCCAGGCTTGCAACAGTCGTGGGAGTCAACCCTCTAAATCCTTCTGCCTGTGGTATGGCGTCGAAAATTCTACGTTTACACATGTGAGAGCCTCCTCCCACGGAGGGACGTAAGAGACAACGGGATTTGGGGCAGGGCCAGGAAAGCGAAGGAAAAGCTGTGAACATGCACCTATGGCCCTGGCTAAGACAGCTGGCGACGCCTTGGAAGTCCGTCTGGCATATCCGGTCGGTGGGACTCGGAACGTAGATGTTCAAGTGGATGGGGGGCAGGCAGGCGCGAGATCTTCTGAAGCCAGTGACACATGGCGAAGAGACGCTCAAATTTACTGGACCAAACACCCAGCTTGACATGGAGAAATATGAGAGGCGATGAAGGCAATACCTCCCGCGCAGAGACGAAGCTGCGGAGCAATATATCACACTTGCATGAAGGAACTTACTACGAATGTAGGCCTTATAGAGGGCGAGTTGCGCCTCCCGCTGCTGGTTTTGGTATTGGTGCTCCTGGTGTTGGATGTGCTGTTGGTGCTGCTGCGACGGCTGGTGGCAGTGGAGCTGCTGTTGCTAGTGGTGGTAGTGGTGCTAAAGCTGCTGCTGCTGGTGGTAGTGAGGCTTTTGCTGCTACTGGTGGTGGCAGTGGCGCTGGGGTTGCTGCTGCTGCTGGTGGTAGTGGTGGTTGTGGCGCTGCTGCTGCTGCTGCTGGTGGTGGTAGTGGGCCTGCTGCTGGTAGTGGGGCTAGGGTTGCTGCTGCTGGTGGTTGTGGCGCTGCTGCTGCTGCTGGTGGTAGTGGCGCTGTTGCTGGTGGTGGTGGTAGTGGCGCTGCTGCTGCTGGTGGTAGTGGCGCAGGGGCTGCTGCTACTGCTGGTGGTAGTGGCGCTGCTGCTGCTGCTGCTGGTAGTGGAGCTGGGTTTGCTGCTGCTGGTGGTGGTAGTGGCGTTGGGGCTGCTGCTGATGATGATGGTGGTAGTGGCGCTGGGGCTGCTGCTGCTGGTGGTAGTGAGGCTGTTGCTGCTACTGGTGGTGGCAGTGGCGCTGGGGTTGCTGCTGCTGCTGGTGGTGGTGGTGGTTGTGGCGCTGCTGCTGCTGCTGCTGTTGGTGGTAGTGGGCCTGCTGCTGGTAGTGGGGCTAGGGTTGCTGCTGGTGGTGGTTGTGGCGCTGCTGCTGCTGGTGGTGGTGGTAGTGGCGCTGGGGCTGCTGCTGGTGGTGGTGGTGGTAGTGGCGCTGCTGCTGCTGGTGGTAGTGGCGCAGGGGCTGCTGCTACTGCTGCTACTGCTGCTGCTGCTGGTGGTAGTGGCGCTGCTGCTGCTGCTGCTGGTGGTAGTGGAGCTGGGGTTGCTGCTGCTGGTGGTGGTGGTAGTGGCGTTGGGGCTGCTGCTGATGATGATGGTGGTAGTGGCGCTGGGGCTGCTGCTGCTGGTGGTGGTAGTGGCGCTGGGGCTGCTGCTGCTGGTGGTGGTGGTAGTGGCGCTGGGGCTGCTGCTGCAGCTGGTGGTGGTGGTGGAAGAGGCGCTGGGGTTCCTGTTGCTGCTGGTGGTGGTGGTGGTAGTGGCGCTGGGGTTCCTGTTGCTGCTGGTGGTAGTGGTGGTAGTGGTGCTGGGGCTGCTGATGGTGGTGGTGGTGGTAGTGGCGCTGGGGCTGCTGGTGGTGGTGGTGGTAGTAGTGGCGCTGGGGCTGCTGCTGCTGGTGGTGGTGGTAGTGGCGCTGGGGCTGCTGCTGGTGGTGGTAGTGGCGCTGGGGTTGCTGCTGTTGCTGC